ATGGTCAGTTCGTAAGTGGAATTTCCGCCCTAGAAGATATTTGCTAAAATGCTGCAAGGACTTTACCACAGCAAGCAATTCCCGTCTTGTGACACAATAGTTCCTTTCCGGCTTTGACAACGACTTGCTGAAGTACGCTATCACAATCTCTTGATCACCATTCCGTTGAGACAACACACCGCCAAGTCCTATATCACTTGCGTCTGTGTCAACTATGAATTCCTTGCCCGCATCAGGGTACCCCAAAATAGGTGTTTTGCACAGGCGGTTCTTGAGCTCCTGGAATGCAATATCGCAACTTTCATCCCAGCAGAATTGTCGCTTCTCCTCGGTTAGCTTGTGCAGAGGTTTGGCTATATCTGCAAAGTTCTTCACAAATCGCCGATAATAAGAGCACAAACCCAAAAATGCTCTAACCTGTGTCTTGTCTTTTGGGACCGGCCACTCCTTGACAGCAGCAATTTTCTCTGGATCCGTGCGGATACCTTCTTCCGACACTACATACCCCAAAAAACTAACTTGTCGTTTGAATAGTGAGCACTTCTTTGGACTCAACTTGAGGTTGGCACTCTGGATCTTCATGAGCACGCGTTCCAGGTTTTGAAGGTGCTCCTCAAACGTACGGCCTACGATGATTATGTCATCCAAATAGACGAGACAGGCATCTCCAATTAGCCCGGTAAGTACAAGCTCCATCAACCTTTCAAACGTTGCTGGAGAATTGCACAATCCAAACGGCATGACTTTAAATTGCCACAGGCCCTTTCCTGTGGAGAATGCAGTTTTCTCCTTGTCCTTAGGGTCAATTTCAACCTGCCAGTAGCCACTTTTCAGATCCAGCGTACTAAACCACTTTACGCCTGTAAGCATGTCCAGCGTGTCATCAATTCTTGGCAAGGGATAGCTGTCCTTCTTTGTAACGTCGTTCAGGCGGCGGTAGTCAACACAAAACCGCATGCTGCCGTCCTTCTTCTTTACCAGCACCACAGGTGAACACCATGGACTAGATGAAGGTTCAATAACACCATCCTTCACCATTCCCTCAATCATGGTTTCCACTTCCTTTTCACGTGCTACAGGCAATCTTCTTGGCCGCTGACGAATAGGCAATTCTTGTCCTGTGTTTATTTTGTGTTGAACTAAGCTAGTCTTTCCTATGTCAGCTTCATTTGACGAGAAAACATTGGCGTACTTGAGTAACAACTTCTTCGCTTTGACCGTTTCATTCGGGGAGAGAACGCTGCGACAGTCTTCTAAAAGTGTGGTCACTCTAGTTTGTCCATCCTTGCTGGGGGTCCCAGTCGATAGATATTCGCACCGACGCAACCAATCCACTTCCTCACTAGTACCAACCAATGTGCCTTTTTCTATAATCTGTTCCTTATCACAAAGGTTCAGCACACGTACTCCTGAGATGTCGGCGGTTCTGACCAAGGTTCGAGCCACTTTCCATGGAAGGTCATTGTCTACCCTTTCCACGAGTACACAACGATGAGCTTGCCCAGGACTCCGAGGAAGACTAACCGGCACAATCGTTTCCGATCTCGGCGGAAGAACAATCTTCTTAAGGCTGTACACATTCCCTGGTAACGCCCCTTCCACGAAAAGTTCTTCTTGTCCACATTTCAAAACACCTTGCTTAACGTCGATCTCACAACAATTCTTCCTCATAAAGTCTAGGCCCAGGATGCAGTCGTCCATTATATCAGCCACGATGACATTATGCAGGTAGATCATGTTGCCTAGCTTCAACTCCATCTCCTTCTCTCCACGGACGGGTATGCGCTGACCAGTGGCTGTCACCAAATTAATGCGTTCTCGGTTGTATGCGGAGTCACCAAGGAACCGACTTATAAGTTGGGAACTGACAACCGTGCGAGAGGCTCCAGTGTCTATGGTCAGTTTACATGGCGTTCCGTTGACTTCGCCCTTGATGATTAGGCTGTTCCCATCATGAGTTTGTGAGATCGAAATCCTTGGGGCTCTTTTAACATCAGCCAGCACCCGCCAGTTTCCCTGCTGCTGCTGGGCGGTGCTATTATCCACACTACCCTCTCGAGATCGATCACCTTCCCTTTTTACAGTTCGCTTAGGGCAGCTGGATCGAAGATGGCCCCTTTCTCCACAGCCGTAGCACCTAGGGCTGACGCGGTGGGAACGATGATCCTGCCGCACGGCTTCCACCTCCAGTGCATGGGTCAAGGCGTCCTTAAGCGTCTCGTGGTGCCCGAGCCTCACAGCAGCTCTGACTTCAAGGTCGCGGATGCCGTCGATGAATGTCTGCACCAGGTTCCCTACAATAAGCGCAGGTACAGACTGGTACGCTTTTCGAACCAGCTTCTCCACCTCAAGGGCCCACTGCTGCAGGTTTTCGTTACTGCGTTGCACGCGATCTTTGAGCTGCGCACGAAAGACGTGTTCCAGGTGAGCGTCGCCATATCTCGCCTCCAATGCCTCAAGGAGCTGCTCGTAAGTCACTTCCTTACCGAGAGCTTCCAGAACAGTTAATGCCTGGTCGCGCAGGCCTAGGGTGAGAGCAGTCATGGCTTGACTTTTATTCCAGCCGTTCGCTTTCATGACAGCCTCGAACTGGATTTTATAGGCCGACCAAGAAGAAGTCCCGTCGAACGGTGGCACTTTGAATCCACGTAGCGAAGGTGTTGTAGCTACCACGGGAGCTGTAACTCCATCCCTAAGTTTGAGGTCGTCCAGCGTTTTCTTCACATCAGCCATCACGTTGTCAACCCGATTGTTCACTTGGTCGATTCGGGTTTCAGCTTCCGACAGGCGGTTGTCATGTTGAGCAACCCTATCCTTCACCTCCTTTATCTCTTTCCCGAAGGTAGCGTGAAGGTCCTTCCTGAGGAGCATCTGTTCTTCCATACCGCGCTGCAGCTGCTCTTCGGCCGCCGACAGGAGGAACGGGTCTGTTCCTCCTGTCGGCGGGCCTGTTCCTCCTGTCGGCGGGCCTGATCCTGCAGCATCATCATCAGAGCACCTAAGTCAGGTGCTGCAGATGCAGGAGCTGCTGACGGGCCAGCCTCCGTGGTTAGCAACTGGCCCTCCGACGTTTGCGGCGTTGCATTACCAAATCGTCTCTGGTCCGTCTCCTGTTGGCGTTGACTTCGGGTACGAATACCCTCCGTGTCGTCTTTAGGTAAAATCGGCATATTTGATCCCACTTCTGACACCAATTGTTACGAGCTTGGGGTTCGAAACAATTAAAAACTGCCGATTGAATTGCCAAAATTGACACTTTAATTACACAACACTAATTACAATCTAAAATCACACTAATAATAGAACACAGTTCGCCGTTATTTCGCTTCGAAGTATTCTCTTGTATCGCCAATTCAATACTGCCCCGGTCGTGGTCTATACCGGCCTCATATAGGGCCTCAGATAGTTTCCAGAACCTTCTACTGTAGCGACATCTAGAATGTTCGAGTACATATCGGTCCCGAAATTTCTGGAAGGATCTCGACTCTCCTAGTTCTGCTACTCGACACTAGAGGGCGCTAGTGTGACTAGTGTTGCCATGTGCAAGACATTAATAGTGGCGCGCAATACTTTCATTTACTCGACACTAGGGGGCGCTAGTGTAACTAGTGTTGCCATGTACAAGACATTAATAGTGGCGCGTAACAATAACAAAAAAGAGTTGCCAACTGTGTCAGCATGTCATAAAAGACAACTAATGAAATATTGGGATTGTGATTCCGTAGGCGATGGGCTAGCCAGTCACCAGTTTTTTACAACTTTTCATCTACCAATTTTTCGGCAAAACATGCTCTAATAAGTTACAAACTTCCCTTTGAACTCTACCTACGCCCCTCGGGGATTACAGAAATGGTGCTATGTATGTAATATTAACATGCCAACAAGCCATGAAACGGTTTCAAAGACAAAACTTCGCATGTTTCAACCTGTTATGAAAATTAAGCTAAACTCACCGAGTTCACCATCTTTTGTATTATTATTATCTATACAAATAAATAAAATTGAAGTGTCTGTTTGTAATGTCAAAATTACAGTTTTTTACTAAATGCATATGAAAGTAAATACGATACCTATAACTAAAATACAATTTTTAAAATTTTTGTCTGTCTGTCTGTCTGTCTGTCTGTTTGTTCCGGGTAATCTCCGAAACGGCTGGACCGATTTTGACGGGACTTCCACTGGCAGATAGCTGATTTCATAAGGAGTAACATAGGCTACTTTTATTTTAGAAAAATAATCAGGGTTCCGCGCAGAAACATATAAACCCTAACACGCGAACGAAGTCGCGGGGAACAGCTAGTTAAATAATAATTATAATAAAATACAAGGCAAGAACGGCTTATGTTGGACTCGCACCAATTAAAAAAAGTCCCGAAAACTCCATGGTATTCTATCTTTGCCGTTTATTAGCAGAACCACGGTAACGCTTTTCTGCCGACTTCCAAAAAGGAGACGGTACGCAATTCGACTGTATGTTTTTTTATGTGTGTTACCTCATAACTTTTTACTGTGTGAACCGATTTCGATGATTCTTTTTTTAATTGAAAGCTAGTACTTCTCGTGTGGTACCATATGAATTTGATCAAGGTCAGACCAATAGTTTTTGAGTTATTCTTAATAACTTATGTTGAAGTCGGCTGTACAAAATTTTTAATTTTTAATTATACTAGCTTAGTTTAACTTTTTCTTAATCCTAGCTTAGTTTAATTTTTTTAATCCTAGAATAGTTTAACTTTTTTTCAATCCTAGCTTAGTTTACCTTTTTTATTCCTAGAATAGTTTAACTTTTTTTAATCCTAGCTTAGTTCAACTTTTTTTTTAATATATAAATTCCTCTTCGACTTTGAATGCCTATGTTCTATCAAGGATAGTTTGTTATCTGTTATGATATCTCAAATGACCGAAATTCACGCCATAGCAGATTTTGGTGCAGTGCATTGGGTGAGGTAGGGTCAGTGTGGGTGAAGTAGAGCTCGGTGAGGGTGAAATGCAATACTCACGGTGCAGGAAGCAGTCGTACTTGAAGCAGCGGCGGCAGAACAGCGTGTGGAAGGAGTGCATGGTCTGATCTCGGGAGACAGACTCGGCTAAGGGTCCATCGATATTGGGCGTGCACTCGGGAGGTAAAGCGTCCGGGTCGCGTAGGGAAGTCAGCTCCACATACCTTATCCATATTATTATAATTATGTATTATTTTTTATTACATTGCTTGTAAACACACACATGGTAGAGTCATGCTGCAGCTATATAAGTAGTATAGTTGTAGCACGAATGGGTCGGCTCGACCGGGGAAGGACCATGCTCTCACAGAATACCAGCGTAAAATGGCAGCTTAACACTGCTGTGTTTCGTATGGTGAGTGTAGAGAACCGGAGACCCGTTTTACTGGAAAAGAGGCATTCCATCTTGGTCCTCACGGGTGACAACGCATCTGCATTTTGATTCGCAAACGAGGATAGATGTAGATGTCTATGGGCCACAGCAACCACTTACCATCAGGTGGACTGTGTTCTCGTTTGTCACCCTATCCTATAAAAAAAACAGCTTGTACATTTACCAATATATGTATATAACAAGTTTCGGATATATCATGTAAAACAGATTTAAAATTTTGTAATTTTTATTTTATTTAGGAACGTTATCACATAATTTACAATGTAAGATAACTTTATTTGCATCGATATTGTTTTCTTTCCATTACTGTATTGTGAATCACTATGTACCGTATATTATATTGTTACATATGTATTATTATACATTGTGGCATTTCTTGGAGAGGGCCTATGTTCAGCAGTGGATTTGTAAAGTAAAAACCGTTTACTAAAGCCTCAAAACTGTAAAAGTAACACTGTAGGATTTGTAAGTTTACCCTTAAAATTGTAATAACACCTGTTATTTCCGATGACAATGAATTATACATAAATACATAATATGTGTATTTTACCATAATAATAAGCACCAACTTCATGTCAGATTTTTTTTAAACTACTCGCAATGTTATTAACATTACTAATATTCCGTTAACCACCACTGGTATGCTTAAAATGCTTGTGGTAGGATTGGTTCACGACAGTAGTCAAATGGAAATCCAAATCCACGAACTTTGAGTTCGCGGTCAGTATCGTAGCCTGTTTTTTTATATAGGATAAGAGTAACAAACAAGCACACAGTCCACCTGATGGTAAGTGGTTGCCGTGACCCATAGACATCTATATTCTCTACTAGCTATTCCCCGCGACTTCACCCGCGTTTAATTTAGGGTTTTAATTTATTGCCGCGGAACCCTAATTCGTTTCCTAAAATAAAAGTAGCCTAAGTTACCCTTATAACATCAGCTATCTGCCAGTGAAAGTCTCGTCAAAATCGGTCCAACCACATCGGAGATTAGCCGGAACAAACAGACAGACACAGATAAAAATTTTAAAAATTGTGTTTTCGTTTTAAGTACCGTATACACTTTCATATGTTATAGTAAAAAGCTGTTATTTTGATATTACAAACAGACACTCCAATTTTATTTATTGTATAGATGTATAGATAACGAATGAAAATGCATCTCATTGTGAGGACTAAGATGGAATGCCTCTTTTCCAGTAAAAAGGGTCTCCGGTTCTCCACACTCACCATACGTAACACAGCAGTGTTAAGCTGCTATTTAACGCTGGTATTCTGTAAAAGCGTGGTCCTTCCCCGGTCGAATCGAACCATTTGTGCTACAACTATACCAGTAATATAGCTGCAGCATGGCTCTACTATGAAAATGTGTATGAATTATATTACAATTTTACAAAAATGTAAACTTGGTAATATAATTAAAATAATTCTGCATTTAAAAAAATAGTTTTTCTGAGTAATTTGTAAATTATTTCCTGTCAAGTTAAAACCTTCATTGAAAAGAAATATGTAAAATTGTAGGTACAATTTTACAATTTTGTAAATTTTTTACCATGAAAATAACATAATTTTTATTGAACAGAAGCATGTAGAAATGTAAATTGTAATTACAAATTGTAAACTGTAACTTTCATTAGACAGGGCTCTGGAGGTAAGTGATGACATAGCCCTGCATGATAACTCACACTATAAAACAAAACCTTATTCTTTTTGTTTTAATTTTATAACAGGCAAGAACAAACATATATAAAACATACTTCTCTCTAAGTTCCTGGGCAGTACCCTTGTCAGGGAACTGAGTGCTGATTGCCTGGAATATGATGAATATTGGAAATTGTTTGTCACTGGTCGTTTTCTTCTCGAGATCCTTGTTTTCTTCCTTTTCTTTCTCTTTCTCATTAGTCTCTTTACTTACGTCTTTCTGAAACAATCGAAAGTAATAAAAACAGTTAAAAATTACTTTTTCTCTTCCAGGAAACCACCAAGACATATACACTCCATTGCTTGATACAGGTATTTTTCATAGTAGCATGGTATAAAGGAGGAACAGCAGAACAGTAGGACTTTCCACAATGCCTTTGATTCCCTATGTATATACTTAATCAGGTCATAAGTTCTGTCAAAAACTTTTTATAAAATTAATGATACACTTTTTGATAATTATATAGAAATTATATATGAAATGAAAGGTAATTTAATTTAGAATACAATTTTATTTACATTATTCAAAATGCCCTCCCATATTTTGCATACATGTCCTTAATCGACGCGGCCAATTATCAATCGCAGCACGCACCACATTCATATCTATTTCTGCCGCTGCTATAGCCAAAGATGCTCGGAGAGATTCCAAATTCTGATGAGGTTTAGCAAAGACTTTCTCCTCCAAATGTTCCCATATCTTGTAATCCAGTGGGTTTAAATCTAGACTAGAAGAGGGCCAGTCATCATGACCAATAAAGTCAATCCACGGGCAGTCAACCAATTTTGCATGCTTCGTGCCCTGTAAGCTAGTGCAGAGTCCTGTTGGAATATCCAATGTCTGTTTTTGAACATTGTTTGAGAAAGAGGTTTCACTTGTTAGGACGGTATTTTGGTACACTTCGGCACTGGTTTTTACACCTTTTTCACAGAAAAACACGAAGTGAACGGCAGGGTCGGGAAGGGACGCCCTAGACGAAGGTTTATCGACCAAATCGGCGATACATTAAAAATGGGCCAGATTAGGAGTACCCTTAACCGACGAGCGTGTATGCGTAGATATATGGATGTAAAAGAGGCGAGAGAGGTGTGTCAGGATCGCGCCAAATGGAAGTCCGTAGTCTCTGCCTACCCCTCTGGGTGACAGGCGTGAGTGTTTATGTATGTATTTATGTATGTAAAAACACCTCAGTTAAGCCTGAATTCCAGCCTAATTTTTTTCAAACGCTCGTTCCAAAATTTTCAGTCTTCTTACGATAAGTTCGTAGTCCTAGGTCTTCATTGATCACTCTTTTGACCGTGGTTCTGCTTAGGCCCATCTGAAGAGCAAAGATTTTTTGTTTACGAACAGGATTTCGTTGGATTTGCGCCTTCACTGCTTTGATGATCGCGGGTGTCCTAACTGTACGAGGTCGGCCGGTCCTCTTACGATCTTCGAAGCTTGAATCTTCAATGAATCATTTGATAGTGCTATAATCAAATAGTGGGGTATTTAAAATTTTTGTAGAATATTGAAAAACTCTTTTGGCGCGTAACCACAGCGGTGCAACGCGATAACCGCTACTCTATCTTCTTTCTTCGACCACTCCATATTTGAAAATTGATGAAAATTAATGTCTTTTTTATTTTCGGCAAGCGCAAACGTTATATTTTTAAAATTGGTGAAGTTCATCTAGCCAGTATTCAAAAATTTTAAATAATAAGGTTTTGACAGAACTTATGAACTAGCAATAATGATTGGACAATCCTTCAACATGCCACACTAAAGCCAGTACAGGAGCTCCCTCGCCCCACACTTAACATGTGATTGCTCTATCGAGACACCTTTGTCAAACCTCTATGATAGTCCTTACTTTTATCTTATATCTTTAAAAAAAAACCTTCCCCCCTAGTTACTAGTATTTTCTCCTGTATTATAGAGGCAGTTTAATTAAACATATTAATGTCACAAGGACAAATTTCCACACACGGAACAATTATTTGTAAATCATACAAATACTTGCTCTGTACGGGATTCAAACCCTCGGCCTTCAGCGTCGCAACTCATTGCTAAGCCACTGCCTAATGGAGCCCTCACTCTGTGATAATAGACAAGATTTACCATAACTATAATGCGGCGTTAGCGATCACACGTCAGACTTTAAAACTCTGTCCTCCATCGCCAGTCAAATTAGTCATATTTTACATAGTATTTTTTTAATGGAATTAGGGTGACAAACGAGCACACAGTCCACCTGATGGTAAGTGGTTGCTGTGGCCCATAGACATCTACATCTATCTTCGTTTGCGAATTAAAACGCAGATGCGTTGTCAGCCGTGAGGACTAAGATAGAATACCTCTTTTTCAGTATAATAGGTCTCCGGTTCTCTACACTCACCATACGAAACACAGCAGCATTAAGCTGCTATTTTACGCTGGTATTCTGTGAGAGCGTGGTACTACTCCGGTCAAGCCGACCCATTCGTGCTAAAACTATACTATTAATATAGCTGCAGCATAGCTCTACCACGTAAAGACATATCCTCGCTACAGATTGGTATTACGTATAGTACAATTATCAAAGACGTATTAAAAAAGATAGACAGGTTACACACTAACATTATTGTATTTTAAAGTGGCGCAGATAGTACTATATCTACGTACAGTTATTCATTATGACAAGTTGCGCAAACAAAAAGAGACAAATGATAGGGATAGATACCTATCGTTAGAATAAGATGAATATACATCATTAGTTGCGTATTGACTGCTGCTGAGCGCTCATTGGCGCGAGCGCATAACATACCGATATAGAAAATGAACACACTAGCTAGCGTCAAAGTTTACACTTTACACTAGCGGTTAGTGTTGAAATAATAAAACCAATTATGAACAAAACATCTTATATTCATAATGTTAATGAGACGTTTTTCTTGTCTCTTACAGTTGCCGTGTAATTTGTGCACCACCTAAAAACACAGGAAGGCATTTTTGCCACGAATAACTAGAAGATTTACGCGCTGTAGCGAAGGTAGAGCCGCGACGCGAGAGGAGAGCGTGCCCGACTGAATGCGAGTCGAGCAATTACCCGACTTTCGTATTGCCATTTTAAAGAGAGTATGACGTATCTATACTTTAAAAACATTTTTGCCTCCAGTACAATAATTCAGTCCCCCGTTACTAAGCAACGACGCTGATACCATGCTCCGCACTAACCCTTATTCGGCTTGTATATATTTTAAAGTTTAAACATTCTGCACATAGTTTAGTTGCTGTTTTTCCCCAAGACACAAAGATCCGTGGTGAATCTTTGTGTACATGTATAAAGTCGGTAGTAGTAACTAAATACTACTATTCATTGAAAGCTGTGAGTTCTGGAATTTTCCATAGTACTCTTAAATCCATTAAAATATTTATTTTGTTATAACCAAATTGTATTGGAAGTCAATTTTGTCTATCATTGTTTGCTAAGTGGATAACTTTCAATTATTTGTAAGTTGTGTCCATAATAAAAATCAGTCGTGAGGAACAAGTCAAGAGGATTATTAATATCTGTTGAGTCATCCAACTCAACACTATATCCAGGGCGCGGGGCTGAAGGAGCGGGGGCATCGCGGCATGTAGTCACCCGGCATCACATAAGTGCCCGTGTATCTCATAATTTTTGTTTAGTAGTTTTATTGACAAAAATTGTACAAGTTTTAATATATCTCATGCAATTGATTCCAGTGCATAACCAGCATAGGTCGCTGATTCATATCCGACTCGGAGAACTAACAAAGAACTTGTAGCTTGGTTGGTTACATAATAAAATACCCAAGACAGTAACAGCAGAATGGTCAAAGGTATTTCTCAAGTATGATGATTAAGGCAATGATTGTCCTATGAGAGAATCTCATTGCCAACAATGAACTTCTATGGAGCTAAAAATAGGTTGGAGTGCGGAGTGAGACGAGGAGGGTTAACTTCACCAAGACTCTTTAACCTGTATATAAATGGATTAATCGATGAGCTTAGCAGAACTGGCGTCGGATGCTCAATAGATGGTAACTTAGTAAACAGCATCAGTTACGCAGACGACATGGTGCTGCTGAGCCCTTCGATCAGAGCATTCGAGGTATTAATTTACGTGGTAGAGCCATGCTGCAGCTATATTAGTGGTATAGTTGTAGCACGAATGGGTCGGCTCGACCGGGGAAGGACCACGCTCTCACAGAAAACCAGCGTAAAATAGCAGCTTAACGCTGCTGTGTTTCGTATGGTGAGTGTAGAGAACCGGAGACCCTTTTTACTGGCAAAGAGGCATTCCATCTTAGTCCTCACGGGTGACAACGCATCTGCATCTTGAGTCTTTATTGAGGATAGATGTAGATGTCTATGGGTCGCAGTGGCCACTTACCATCAGGTGGACTGTGTGCTCGTTTGTCACCCAATCCTATAAAAAAAAAATTTATAAATTTATGTGAGAGATATGCAGAAGCTCATGGCCTCAGGTATAACTCCAAAAAGATTGAACTACTTCTTTTCAAGGCTGGGAACAAAGAACCCAAGGCTATCCCACTGATCAGGCTTGGAGGAGTACCTTTAAAGAGAGTCACCAAATTTAAATACCTGGGGCACTGGGTTTCAGAGGACCTCTCTGATGATATGGATATTGAATGAGAACGTAGAGCATTAGCAGTGAGGTGCAACATGCAGGCTTGCAGGTTTGCAAGATGTACAAAAGCTGTCAAGATAACCCTTTTTAAGGCGTACTGCCAAACATTTTATACCTGCAGCCTGTGGGTCAAGTATATTCGCCGATCAGTAAAAGCTCTACGTGTTCCGTACAATAATGGCTTTAGGATGCTGATGGGGCTGTTACGATATTGCAGCGCCTCGGGTATGTTTGTTAAGGCTAACACGGACAGCTTTGATGCAATAGTGCGGAAGAGAGTGGCCTCCTTGATGCGACGCGTGCGGGACAGTGCCAACGGACTCCTATGTACTGTATTAAGAAGGGCTCATAGTCTGGTTGTGCGGCACTGGAACACTGTGCATATGGGGTCCAGAGCAACACGAAAAACAACAATACTTATTTTATATTAAACATAAGAATGTTTAATATAAAATAAGTATTGTTGTTTTTAGTTGTATATTTACTGACATTAATTTTAAATTTATATTATTTATTACTAATAAAGAATGGTGCTTGTATCTGCAATAAAATTATTATTATATTATTATTATTAAAACTCTGAATCTTAACATTCCCCACTAAAAATGTGAAACATATTATTTTAGTACTTACATCTTTCTCTTCTTTAGAATTACGCAACTCTCTTTCCTTTTTCTCCTCAGCAACTTCATCCTTTGTCTGATAAGTCATCAAAGCATGAACTAAATCCACAAACAGTTGGTCATCTATGAACCCTCCTTCTTTATCACCTATGAAAATTAAAATGTTTTTTTACTCTTTAACTGTTGGTTAAGAGGATATGTCGGCTGCATGAAATTCAAAGAATAAGGTTTGAATTATCTATTGCTGTCGCGTTGTAGCCGTACGACCATGCCAGAGGACCAAGAGAGACAGATGCAGCTTTAACAATTATACCTATGAAAATAAAATTAACATCTGGTATTCCCTTGTTTCCTCCACCAAAACTGGACCGATTTTAATTTTATTTTAAGAATAATATGAAAGATTGTGACATTAAATTTGTTTCCTATATATCTATTGACGGTGGTGTAGTTTTAGAAATTTTTAAATATTCCGAATGTATCATGCATATACGCTTAGTTTCATTATCCATTGCAAAAACAGAGAAGTATGTTTGTATGGACTTACAACACCTTTATGCTCTTAAGTTGTAATCATGAGCATAAATGTTATTTCTTTTATTTTTCTACCAAATAGATGCCATCTAATATAAACTACCAGGTATCTAGTTCGTTTTATAATCTGACTTGGTGTGTTCACTAACAATGACACAATTACCTTACAATTTTTTGTGGAGAGCTCTTATATTTATTAGATACCAACATATTGTCTTTCATTTAATTATTTGCTAACTGATAGAAACCCTTTTCTACATAGTTCTGGGTATGTACCACTGGCTTATCTATTTCTGACCGGAAAACCGCTGGACAAGCCAGGTCAAAAAAATCAGTTATTAAGATTTTCCATCAAGAATTTCACAGTAGCTGCCCGGAGTGAGGAAGTTGGCGGTGTCATACCCCCGTGCTTCGGAAAGCACGTAAAGCCGTTGGTCCTGCGCCTGATTTCTCTCCGGTCGTGTCGGTTTACTGTCTCATCAGACTATGAGAGTGAGGGAATAGAGATTGCACTTGTGCTTGTGCATACAATTGGGCACTATAATCCTGTCCTGCTCCGAAATTCAGTCTGGAGAACATTTTTATTTTAAATAATGAAACAAATTTTATAGAAATGATACACATAGGTACTAACCACTAATAAAATATAAGTGTAAAATCATTTACCATGCACTTTTCCATCGTAATTTTTAATGAGCTCCTCAATAAATGTGCCATCCTGATCCAAGACCTCATCACCCATATAAGGAATGTTGTGAAGCACCGTTTCATCTTCTACCATAAAGTTCTTCTGTGTTGGTGCCCAAGTGTACATTGTAGGAATGGGGTTGACAGAGTTTATTATTCTTATAGGCACTTGTTGTGTTGTTACAACTCCTGATGCTATAATGAAAATAAAAAGTTACACAGCAGCCTAAGATTTTACACAATAATGTAATGAATGAATAAAATAATAATAATTATTGAATAAATAAAAATTGGAGTAAAGTGGACAAAATTTCTATATGGTAGACCCATGCTTCAGCTGTATTATTATGGTTGTAGCAGGAATGGGTTGGCTCGAGTGGGACCACGCTCTCACAGAATAACAGTGTAAAATAGCAGTTTATTGCTGCTGTGTTTCGCAAGGTGAATGCAGAGAACTGAAGACCCTTTTTACTGGAAACGAGACATTCCATCTTAATCCTCAGGGGTGACAATGTATCTGTACTTCGATTCTTAATCGAGGATAGATGTAGATGTCTATGTGCCACAGCAGCCACTTAAAATAAGGTGGGCTGTGTTCTTGTTTGTTACACCATTCTATGAAAAAAAAGGAAGCAAAGGTCTAAACTTTATAGGTGGATTATCAAAATAATATTTTCTACTAGTTGTTCCCTGTGACTTCGTCCACATGTAATTTAGGTTTTTTTTTTTGCACGGAACCCCAATTCTTTCTCTTAAGTAAAAGTAGCCTAAGTTACTCCTTATAACATAAGCTGTCTGCCAGTGAAAGTCCCATCAAAATCGGTCCAGCCGTTTCGGAGATCAGCCAGAACAAACAGACAGACAGACAAAACTTATAAAAATTGTGTTTTTGTTATAAGTTCCGAATATATTTTCGTATGCATTTCGTAAACAAATAATTTTTTAGACTCTGGATGTTTGTTTTTCGGTAATTTACTTATGTAAACTGCCTTCATTATACAAGAGAAAATGTCAGTGTAAGGGTTAAAAAATAACTTTTATACAAGTTTTTTCAATTTGATTCAAATAATTGCATTTCATTTCTTCTACTATTACTATCCTTTGTTTAGTAATGCTTTAGTATCCTGTTGAATACATAATATTTAGTATGTTGAGGGGAGACTGGATGGTTACCCTTTTTTGCTTTAAAATAATCTCAATAATTTATAAGGCATGATAAAAAAAACAAACAGCAATTATATAAAGGGTCTTTTTTGTTCTGTGGTATTGATATAAGTTTCGTATAATCATTGAATAATAATGTAAGAAACTGTTAGAATTATTTTTTTAAATAATCACCATCAGTGTAAGTAACTTCCGCTCGCTTCATTAGACTTTCATGGCTAGGGCTGGTTGCTGGAGGAGGCCAAAAAGGCCTTCGCCCCCGCTCGGCGCACTCTGTTTCGCGCGTCTCTATTGCCTCGGACATGATTCTTAAATTTCGCGCCCATGCTACCTTCACCTCGTCTGCACGTTTGAATCGCTGGAAATTTGAAAGATGTTTAAATATGAAATAAAGAATGAAAGAGTGCAAGAAACAAGAAATAAGCGAAAGCAATGAAAAGTATAGCTTAAATACATAAAAAGGGATGAAAGAAAAGACATTGAGAATAGCAAATCACAAAAATATGTACCTTCATTTGCCGTAGTCTCATATATTCCGATTTCACCCGTTTCTTCCATTCTGCAGACACTTTCAATTTACTCATAGAGAAAATTATGTTAAACTAAGAAGCTCCAATCCCTATACGCGACACAAGTTACAATTAAAATGAGGATATTATTTCAAATAATAAGTAAACTATGATTATAATAAAAAGAAAAAAGAAAACAAAAACCCGCGAGCCGGGAACTATATAACTTATATCTCTATGTCTATGTAACTAACCGATATCGATAACCGAGCGTGACAAAAGCAAAACTGACAAATGACATCTGCATTTGACTGTTTGACAATGACAATGATGTTGTTGTTTTTATTATTCGCTCGAGAGAGCAGGCAAAGGAACTAAGCCATACCGCCTCAATGACAATGACAACTGACGTAGTGATTTTTTTATTAAGATTTTGACTTGAATTCTTGTTATATATAGCCATGTCTTAATTTCCTTCGGAATCTTCGTTTTTATAGATTTTCAGTATCAAGTGATAATAATCCTTTATAATACATTGCTTCATAATATGTTTATGCATCACACTGTGTAGTTTTCAGGAGATTTTAATGGCAACTTGAGTCAGCAGATAATTAGCGATATTATCGCAAGGCAACTAAGCAGACAGCTACCATATCTTGAGAATGAGATTCACATCACCATCGGATCACTTGCTTCACCGTTTCCACTAATAGTTCAGACATTTTAATACACAAAATCACACAACTTTTACATATCAATATCCACTTCAAACCATTATTTAAACAACTAGCTTTTGCCTGTGACTTCGTCCGCGTTGATATTACAATTTAAACCATAGGTGATCCATCAATAATCGCACTTTTATAGTAAATTCCATCTCACTCTTTAGAGGTGATTTCCGTGATCAAAGCTATCCTTTTACCTTCCCAGGGACTTAAACTAATTCGATACCAAATTTCATTGAAATCGATTATCCTGTTTAAGTGTGAAGAGGTACATTTGCTCACGCGGCGATGAGCAATGTTTTCTCCCACCTCACCTGCAGTACTCTGATCAACTGCCCTGCTCGCGCCGTACTGAACAATTTTATGTCGTCATTACTTTTAAAATATTTGACCAAATTACATAGTTTTATATAGTTATTAAACAAAGTTATCTAATTTGAACATCAGAAGCAATTAAAGTATTTATTTTAATAAAATTCATTTGTTACTACAAAATGTGCGTAGCCAAAATAGCCCGAAGGTAACAGATTTTTTCTGAGTTTCTTAACATTTATCGTTATATTTTGACCAATTTACACAATATCTTTATTAATTATAGCCTATGTTTTGTTCTGATATGTGGGCTATATTATTTTACAGTTTCATTAAAATACATTTAGCAGTTTTTACGGGGAAGTGTAACAAACATTATGGATGTTTGTTACACTTCCCCTCAATTCCCCCAATCTCCCATTCTCACAAACTTTCACGCTTATAATATTATATACATATGTAGTAGGACTAGGAAAAACTAAAATTATTTTGCTAAAACTATTTAAATCTCATTTTTCTGAGTTTAGATCTTGGAAATACTGTATAATTAATAGTCACGGTGATATCCCGCCGACCAGGAAAGGCCCGGGTCTCTCAATGAAACGTGCTAGAAAAATAGACTCCCAGGATGCAGGCGATGTAAACAGGGGTGGAAGTGAGGACTTTTTACGTTTTTAACCCAAATTGTAAATGACTATATCCTGAAAACTCTACTAACAGTAAATTTAAAGTCTGTTGAAAGTTCCAATAATGAAAGGCTGGGCAATAAGAGTCCAATATATCTGAACCATATTTTGACAACAAACATAAAAGGAGTGGTGGTCATTCGTATAGTGCATGCCAACAAAATCGCAGTCGAGACAAACAATATACTATACTACAGCTAATAATTTTTTAACAAACACGACTTTCCTGGACTAGTACAAACTAAAGGCGTATATCCCAGTGACACAACTTAAGAAGCCGGGAATCATTCGATTTGTGCCAACCGATATCTTAAATATAGAACTATATTATAAACTTTCCTTAATATATGAGACAATTTCTGTGTTCCTGAAGAAAGTTGGTCAAAAAAGGTTGCCTCTGCAGGTGAAAAATTATCATACAACATTGTACATAGATGACTTAGATGTATGTATCTTAAATGAAGGTGAGGTATTACTATTAAATATCCCAATTATAACCCATCTGCTGTTGATGTCACTTTTGCTAGTCCAAGTAATAACGCTCTCTGCAAATGGCCAGTTCATGATGATAACATGAGAAATTATCATTTTTCTACTACAACAGAAATTCCCCCCCCCCCCCCACCCCCCGCAGGCGGGTAAGCGGTATTAATCCTTCTTCTGAAATGAAATGAAGAATTATTTGCTTTGAAAAGGGTGTACATTTAGTTGGTTACTATAAAGTATAGTACAGATTTTTCAGCCATCTATAATAGCATGCAAATATATTTTTATAATGAAGTTTACTATATTACAATATAAAATTCAATAAAATTATTTATCGGCATGTCATCGTTTACAAATTAGCAATACTAGTGGCAATACATACAAATTTAAATATAATTAAGATTATAATTCAATTAAAAATATATAACTAGTGTTGAGTCACATCATGTCATATTTAGGTAGTCATTCACATTATAAAAACAATGTTCATTTAGCCACCTGTAAAGGGCACCTGTAAATCTATTAAGGGGTAAGTCTTTTATATTTTGGGGTATTTTATTAAATATGAGAAAACACATCCAGTTTTTTTTTTAAATCGAGCTCTCGAAGTGAGGCTCTACCATGTAGCACACATATATTTAAACCATTATACATTATACATTATACAATCATTATTTTCAAATATCGATATCAGTAGTAATAGCTTGCTACTGAATGCGCAAACGACAACCGAAACATAACCTAAAACCAGGGGTATGAAAGTCCCCAGTATAATATAGCTTATAGCTTGCTTTTACGTTGTTACTAGCGTCATCTTTCACCGATATTTTTTACAATCTATTAAAATATATATATATATATATATATATATATATATATATATATATATATATATATATATATAGAATAATTCTGTGAGAAATAACGAAGCAGTTAAAATAAATTAGTTAGTATTTAAATTCATTTCCTCTTAATTTTATTGAAATATGTACGAAATAATCTATAAAAGCGCTGAAGAAACTTCCCTCGTTTTTTCACCTAATAATTTGTCATGAATCATGATCTATGAGCTCTATAAAGATAGCAGTGAAAAGTCAGCAGAAACATAAAATTTGTATCCAGGAATTTGTAGCTAATTTGTTACTAATTAGTTACCAAAATCGCGATTTTGTTGCTCCAACCGGTTTTGAGTAAATTGAATTACTGCTATCTTTACATTAAGATAGCAGTAAAAACTTTCAATCAACTCCGCCGTAGCGGATAAATGGGATAATTTGTTGCTAATTAGTTGCTGACATATAATGCAAAGAATATTAAAAAAATTAAAATTAAAAAAAATCAAAAATTAATAAAAATTAATTTAGGTTTTGATACTGATTCTGAAGTTCCAAATTAATGAAAATTTTGCTGCTAATTAATAAATAGATCAATAACTCCTAGACAACATAACATCATAAAATCCGTCGAAAAGCTGTATCAAGTAATAAGTTACAAATAAATATGTACATGCTGCCTATACGGGAGATTCAAAAACAGAACAACAGATATATTGTTGCTGTTCAGTTATGAAAGCATAAAGAGCCAGCAACAAAATAAAATAGATCGATAAGCTGCACCAAGTAATAATTTAATAATTATATGTGTAGAAGTTATATCAAAACACTATTCTTTGTGACATACTACTTCCGTTACTGACCACCAACAAAATATCTGCTAATTTTTTTCTAAAATTTGCATTAAAATATAGCGTGTACACAAATAATTTCTAACTAATAACGTGGTGCAACTTATCGATCTATTTTATTTTGTTGCTGGTTCTCCATGAGTTGCTGCTTCCGTAACTGACCAGCAACAAAATATCTACTATCATTTTTCCTATAATTTTCTTGTAAATATATCTTGTATACAAATAATTATTAACTTAGTACTTGGTGCAGTTTATCGATCGATTTTATTTTGTTGCTGGCTCTTTATGACTTGCTGCTTCAATTACTGGCTAGCAACAAAATATCTGCTACCTTTTCTCCTAAAATTTTAGAAAAATATAGCACGTACACAAATAATTACTAACTTATAGCGTGGTGCAACTTATCGATTTATTTTATTTTGTTGCTGGCTCCTTATGAGTTGTTGCTTCCGTTACTGACCAGCAACAAAATATCTGCTAACTTTTTTTCTAAAAATTTAATGTAATTATAGCATGTACATCAATAATTATTAACTTATTACTTAGTGCAGCTTATCCATCTATTTTATTTTGTTGCTGGCTCTTTATGACTTGCTGCTTCAATTACTGGCTAGCAAAAAATATTTGCTATATTTTTCCCTAAAATATTCATAAAAATATAAATTGTAAACAAATAATTTCTAACTAATAACGTGGTGCAACTTATCGATCTATTTTATTTTTTGCTGGCTCTTTATGACTTGCTGTTTCCATTACTGGCTAGCAACAAAATATCTGCTATATTTTTTCCTCAAATTTTCATGATATAGCTTGTACACATATAATTATTAACTTATTACTTGGTGCAGCTTATCGATCTATTTTATTTTGTTGCTGGCTCTTTATGCTTTCATAACTGAACAGCAACAATATATCTGTTATTCTGTTTTGAATCTCCCGTAGAGGCAGCATGTACATATTTATTTGTAACTTATTACGTGATACAGCTTTTCGACCGATTTTATGATATTGTAGGCTGTCTGGGAGTTATTGATCTATTTATTAATTAGCAGAAAAATTTTCATTAATTTGGAACTTCAGAATCAGTATCAAAACTTAAATTGATTTTTATTAATTTTTGATGTTTTTTTTAATTTTTGATTATTTTTTAATTTTAATTTTTTTAATATTTTTTTGCATTATATGTCAGCAACTAATTAGCAACAAATTATCCCGTTTTATCCGCTACGGCGGAGTTGATTGAAAGTCTTTACTGCTATCTTAATGTAAAGATAGCAGTAATTCAATTTACTCAAAACCAGTTGGAGCAACAAAATCGCGATTTTGGTAACTAATTAGCAACAAATTAGCTACAAATTCCTGGATACAAATTTTATGTTTCTGCTGACTTTTCACTGCTATCTTTATAGAGCTTGATCTATGCCCTATATAGTATATTGTCTATACCGAAAACTGTAGAACCAGTGCAACATTTATTTTACGAATTACTTTAAATTATTTTAGTTTATAAATATGGAGTGTAGAGTAGAAGCAGGACCATCTCTATATATGAAAAGTGTCCCAAAAACGTGTCCAATAAGGGTGGTACTGCAGTAGCATAGGATAAATAAAAAAAAGCGCCAAAAGTAATTAGAATAAGATGGAGAAATAAACAAGGGCCGACCAATTCGCTTGGTTTTGTACTACGTAAATAGTTGAGATTTTGTATACTGGCATTTTACTAACTACTCTAATCATGAAATTTTTTAAATATTTGAATTCAGCTGACTTCACTCCGTTCACAACAGCTATCTTCATATCGTAGTTTTTCAGACGCCAGCGCTATTGTGGTAGGTTTTGGAACCTCTATTTTCAGTAAATAGTAGGACACTTTTTCAACTTTCGCCCCTTATAAGATGGTTCTCCTTGTACTCTACACTCCATATTTATAAATCAGAGGCTCTAATGTAATTTTAGATGTAACATTTATACATGTATGTTAATATATAATTTATGATTGTTTTGCAATATGGTATTATAAATGTCTAAAATTACATTTTTTCTATCCTTATTTATTTCTATAATGTTTATAGGTATCATTGAGTTATAATGTACTACATATTAGAGGAGACGCCTCAACTGGATTGTTTGTAACATGAGTTAGAGTGTGCGCTCTCCAACTCACTTAGTCTGTGTCAAGCGGTTGCTGGAACGTGAGACGTTTGAGTGAAGAATTTTTTTTTAAATTAATTATCCCTTAATAAGCATTGGGATACTGTTCAAATAACTCGAGAAACATAATTAAAATTCAAGGAGTGACTTTTCACCAGTAAGTTCAACATAGTATTATCTTTAAAACACGCTTAATTTAATTATATTTATCAACTGCAACGTATACGTGAATGTCAAAGATTAAAACATTTTTATGCGCAGACATGACTCTATCGACGTATAATGTTAAGTAAATATGACCAGTAAAATATTAATATATAATCACGGTAGGAAATGTTAATATGCATTAAAATTAACATTTTCTCGGCCGTGTCATGAAACAAAAGAATCATGGATCAAATTTGTTCAGAAGAATTGCAGAGAAGAAACGTGGTTACCGTCAAATTATTCAAGTATATGTTCCGTGCATTTAAAAGGTAACTAACTACAAATACACCACAAAAACAGGAAGAGTGTACTTAAAGAAATCTGCAATACCATCATCATCATCATAATCATTATTACAGCCCTTCACAAGTCCACTGATGAACATAGGCCTCGCCCAAAGAATGCCACAAAGCACCTGAATCCATTCACTTCTTGCATGACCAGATCGTCACTCCATCTAGTGCTGGGAGTATATGGCAGTTTTTTAATGTTGTAACGCTAGAATTTTTACAGGCTTCCCAAATAACTAGTATCTTTTTTTCAGAGAGCAAAATGTGGTGAACAGGAAGTAGGTATCAGAACGGTTGTCTGAATCAGTAAGGTCAAAAAGCAGGTCAAATTCAATGTTTGATAGTCCGAGAGAAATTGCACTTAAAAATAAATTACGCAAGTAATGTGACCTAAGCCTAATTCGAGTGATGTATACGAAGCCTAATCTTTTAAATATAGTTCTACAGGTGACCTTAGTAACGGAATTAATAATTCTATGTCATTATAAAAAAAAAATATGAGCACGTTGTAATATTGTGTTTTTTTATTTAATAGCAAGGAATCTGCAGCTAGAAAGAAATTTACTGAGAAATTTAAGAAAATACAAAGACAAAATACTTATCTAAAGAAAAAATGTGCTTCTTACAAATCAATTGTACAAAATTTTAAACATAAATTCGGTCTCAACCAAAATGCTGAGATTGATTTAATGGCTAAAGCAGAAGTTGTGGAGTTACATAAATCTTTAATGAAAAAGATTAAACAGAGCACGCATTATTTATTATATATTGCATGCACCTTTACGTACATTCGCATTGACTTGGCACTATTATTCTCCAGCTGCGTATAAATACGTTAGAGAATGCTAGAAAAGCAATAATAATGATCTTCGAAAATACATGTATATTTTTATATTTTACATATTTACTTTTTAAAATATGAAATAAAATATCATTAAAATGTAATTCTGACATAATATTATGTTATATTATATTAAATTAACACATATGCAAAATAAATAACAATTACAAAAATTGTACTCGATATAATTAACAATACAATCTAAATAAACAATTATTTATTACATACTGATCATTCTACCTACGTATAATCTATGATGATAAAAACTGCGCATGCGCGACTCTACTATCTCCCGCGCATGCGCGAAGACATAGAGTAGCGCTCATTTTTTGTTTGGTATAGCTTCTCTAGTACGTAGTACATGATAACTCAATTATAGGTACTCATATTTTTTTAAAGTGAGACGTAGTATCAGAGTTTGATTTCAAAGTCTATAATTAAACTGTATTCATAAGTAGTAAACATAATTTATATATACATAATGTTTATATATATAAAATTGGTTTAGGTAGTTCTTTTATTAATGATTATTTAAGTTGGCGATTTATCTTCATATAGTTAACTAGGCTTAGGACTAGCAGAAAAGTTTTAAAACAAATGTACACAATGCAATTAAATATTACAAATAAATGCACAAAAGTTACGTTAAAAATTAATAATTTTACAGATAGTTTCATAGTGAATGGCACACGCCACCAAAGTCAAGTGAGTAATTGTTACGTTTTGAAAAAAAATCAAATTCTAAACTTTCCATATAAAATATAAACAAAAGTTGCCTACACCAAATATAATGTGATCAAACAAATCTAAGTGTTATGTCTTATGTTCTAAAGATCATTTAAATCTGAAAACTCTCACAACTACACAAACTTAAAAATTAGTCAATTTTAACCATTTAAAATTCGACCTTATTGTTAAGGCTCTTATAATTAATTATATTTCACTACGTGCACCGTTTTATGATAACTACCAAACATCGCAACGAAATCCATATTCGCTTCATCTCTTTCATACGTATTTATGATACCGTCGCTAGAGCGAGAGACAACGAATATCAAAAGACATCTGTTAGTTTTGGGCCGTGTTGGCATATCGTTTTTACAGTTTGCGTTTTACGTTCCGTACGTTGGTTAGTTGGTTTTGCGTTTAACGGTTATGTACTTAGGTTTATCGATATGATATGATATTTGATAACATAACGTTATTAGTTACGTTTTGATATATCGGTCTCATGCCTAAAAGTTATAGTCTGTTCTGTTCTGTATTGTCTATGTATAGTGTAAGCGAATGTGTTGGCTGCCATTTTCTACTATAGAATTTTCTTGAGGAAAATAAAGTTTTACATTCAATAAAAGGTGAGCATAAGTAGACAGGTATTAATTTTTTGTATATTTATTTAGCTTTATACACACAGCATGCATAAACAAACTTAATTCCGCTTTTTGGAAGCGGATTACGTAATTTATTGTTTCTCGTCACTAAATATATTTACTACGATACATCAATATCAATGCGCGAAGGCGTTTCTCGAGCGGGGAGCGTAGAGTTGTTGTCTACACCGAAAAGTTATTCTGTTTGTAGGTGTGTGCCTACCTACAAACTGCCGCAGGTTATGCGAAGAGGCTCGTATAAGTATGTCCTCGTACGGCGGTTCTGGTGCATGGGACGGCGGCCCGCCTGGCGCTGAGGCGGAGTACGCCACGCAGCGTGCCCCGCCGCTCGCCGCGCCCATGCCCACCACGGACCCCTGGACAGGCGTCAGCTACAGCACCTACGGCCAGCCTCACTACGATTACCAGCAATATGGTGCCACGGGTTACGGTTATAATTACGATTCCGGTTATTATCCTAGATCTGACGGCTATTACAAATACCAAGATTCAAGAAGTGCTTATCCCGCGCCGCAAGCCAGTTACGATTACTCTAGGCCCCGTGAGCGAAGTCGCTGCCCCATAGAATCCACGGATTATGAACATAGACAAAAATCTTATAGAACCAATTCACGTAGTGTATCTCCATTTGAGAAGAAGGAAAGAGCATATTCTAGAAAAAGGGATAGTAGTTATGAGGAAGGTACTAGAAGTAGACGGTCAAGAACTAAGTCAAAGTCAAAACACACAAAGTATTCTTCTAGTGACCATTCTAGCTCTAGATCTAGATCATACTCCAGATCTCCTTTAAAGAAAAATAAAAAGAGGTCATCCTCTTCTGAATCATCTGATTCTGATAATTCTTTTAAGAAAAAATCAAGTCGAGGAAGGGATCATTCTTTAACCCCACCATTAAAAAGAAGTAAATCTCATTCTCGTAATCATTCTAAAACTCCTGATAGTAAGAGGAATTCTAGTAGCAGATCCCCAAGTGTGGTAAGAGAAAAGTTGAGAAGCAAAGAAAAATCCCAGTCTAGTAATGATAGGAAGCCGAGAAATCGTTCAACTTCAAAAAAACAAAAGGAATTATCAGCTACCCCACCCAAAATCCACAAAAAATCCAACAGATCAGCTACACCTCAAATTCATAAAAGGTCTGAACGGTCACTTACACCACCAAGGAAATATAAAGCTAAGGAGAAAAGGTCTGAAACTCCACCGAGGAAACCACGAGACAGTTCTATTACACCTCCAAGATGTTATGCTAGAAGTCGCTCATCTTCAAGTTTTGGCTCTCGATCAAGATCTTTGACTCCTAAACATTCAAAGCGTAAACGTTCATCCAGTCCAAAATCAAAACATTCCAGATCCAGTTCTCTTTCCAGTCGCTCATCTAGGTCTTCCAGACATTTTAGATCTAAATCTAAACGTAAATTGAGACATAAATCATCGTCAAAGCGTAAATCCCGCTCTAAGAGTCGCTCTACGCGTCACTCTAAGAGCAAAAGCAGGTCTATGTCCCGTCAAAGATCTTCATCAAGAGGGAAAAGTAGACGCTCGGTATCCTCGAAATCCAAATCACGATCAAGGTCTCGCAGTTCACGATCTCGCAGCCGCAGTGGTACTCCAAGCGATGATGAACGGCGTGGTCAATTTACAGTGGAAGATAGAAAACGCTTTTGGAAAAAGCATAGAAGTCGACAGGAGGAAAAAGAAAAGGCTAAATCTCCTGCAAAAGAAGTAAAACCACCGCCAGGTGCCGTTGAATCCACTACTGTTGACGATATTGAGTATGGAGACCCGCCTGAAGTAGAAGGACCTAACTTTGCTGAGCTTTTACCACCACCTGAACAAGTTATGCAACAAGCAGCTACATCATCTAAATCTAAACCTATGGCAATACCAATTAAGAATGATGGCAGTTTCTTGGAAATGTTTAAAAAAATGCAAGAAGAAACTAAAAAAACTGAAGTTGTAGAGAAAAAGCCAGAAATTAAAAAACCAGTTTTACCATTTATTGGGAAACGACGTGGTGGAAGGGTGCTTAAAACTGGTTTAGTGAAGAAAGCAAAAGCTATTGATGAGCAAACTGTGGACAACACTCCAAAAGATGCATGGTCACTATACATGCAGGAAGTTAAAAAATATAGAGAGACTTCTTGTGAGGAGGAAAGGAAGACACGGCCTCTTGTGAAATAAAAAATTGTTGTTTTTTTTCATTGTGACTACTTCTATGCTTGATTGTATTTCTTAATAACATTCTTATTTTTACTAAATTACTTGTTTATTGTAATCAAATTGTAACTCTTTAGTTTAACCTCTGTGAAACAGGTGATGATAATAAAGAACAATGAGTATGAATGATAATGTTCTTTCGTTGCAGTAAAATGCCAGAAATGATCAAATCGCCCGCTGACATCAAAACTGCACCTTTCGACCCTCGGTTTCCTAACCAGAACCAGACAAGGTAATGTAGCTCTATGTTTTTCATTTATCACCCCTGGAGTCAGCATTGGAACTGCCGTGTGCCTGCTTGCTGTAAAACTATAAACAAAATGATTATAATATTTTTCCATACTGATCTACAAAAATTGTCAAATGTATGCCATCGTAGATCCCCATCAGCATAATTCATGTAGAATAATTAGCACAAATGACACAAAAATTTCTAAATCTTATTTGCATATCTAATTGATACCGCAAATGTAAAAAAATAACATGCTACCATTATTTACTTCATTCCTAATTACCGGAATAACTCATGTTTATGCATCTACTCATTTTTGTATCTGTATGAGGTACCTACTATGTTGGTATATAATATTTCTTGTATTTTTATTGTATTCTGGTCTGGTTGGGTATTCATGAATACCAACTATGCCAGAATACATTAAGAATACTATTGTATTCTTGTCTGGTTGGGATGCACACACCTTGCATATAATATTATATAAGTTGTATTAGTAATTATCATTCACTCCCCTGAGCTGACATGGTTCCAGTTACCATATTACGTACTACACTTCAAAGTGGCGCCGCACTGGTGGCGATAAAAGTAGTCATTGTATTAAGTCCTCATATCACTTAATCATAAACTGGAAGGCTGATCTAAAATTGATCATACATTATTTTCTATAATGCATGCAGTCACTTGGTTATTTTTATAGAACATCAACTGGGGTGAGATAATAGTTGTGTGACCTAGTAACCTGTCTCCATAAAATATTTAATTTTGTAAAAATAAGTTTAAAAATTACAAGAGGGATAAACAGCACTAAAAATTGTTATTTTTCCTGAATCAGTCTTTTTTTATTATTTTTTAGAAAATCAACTCCCTTCCTACAGCTTCGAAAAAGTTACTAAATACAGTTGATATCCTGTTGAAAGTGTGAATTCCGCCCTCACGCATTGGGGCAGCGCAGCCGACTTCCCTGCCGTACGTTCTTAAATGGAATAATGTCTGCACCCACCGATTCGACATATTTAGGTTCTATAGTTTGCATGCTATTACATAAGAGGGCGGCACTGGCGACACAAAATTTCGGGAATCAAGGAAGTGACACAACATTACTATTTAAAAATGTATTTATTGCTTTTCGAAGTATTCTCCGCGAAATTTGACACATTTTTCCATACGATGGAACCAATCATTGAAGCAACCATTCCATTCGGAAGTTGGGGTCTCCAAAATGGCCGTTTTGTAGGCGTCCACAGCTTCTTCAGGTGATGAAAATCTCTGTCCACGCAATTTATTCTTTATTTTAGGGAAAGTATAGAAATCATTAGGGCTTAGGTCGGGGCTGTACGGCGGATGGCCTAATAATTCTATGTTTTCTTGCTCTAAAAACTCTTTTGTTCTGTGTGCGGTGTGAGAACTCGTATTGTCGTGATGGAGGATGATGCGGCGGTTGCAGTTCTCTTTACGGAGTTCAGAAACGACCTGTGGTAAACAAATGCTAGCATACCATTCTGCATTAACCGTTCTTTGTCCCTCAAAAGGAATAGTCGTAACATGGCCGGTTTTGGAGACAAACGTGGCCACCATTTTTTTTTGCAACACTGTGAACGAACAATTTTTGTTGGCTTTAACTCATTTTCGAACACCCAAACTCGTGACTGGTTTTTTGTTTCGGGTTCGTACGCGTATATCCAGGATTCGTCACCTGATACGATGTTGTATACAGCATTTGAGGATCCTGCGTGGAATCTTTCGAGAGTTCTGACGCACCAAGTAACGCGAGCCGCTTTTTGCTCTTCACAGAGCGAATGCGGTATTCATCGGGAAAACAACTTTTTTACACCTAATTGTTCATGCAAGATTATTTGTATTTGACTCATGCCAATGTCTAAAGTTGCCTGAATTTCGCGGTATGTCACATGTCGATCTTCCTCAATCAGCTTACGCACAGCATCAACGTTTTCTTGGGTGACTGCAGTTTTTGGACGACCTTGACGGGGATCATCACTGAGCCTGACACGTCCACGTTGAAATTCAGCAAATCAGCGATAATTTGTGGTTTTGGACGGGGCTTCATCACCAAATGCAGAAATCATCCGGTCAACACACTGTTTTTGTGTTAAACCACTTCGAAGTCATAATAAATCATCGCTCTTGAATTTTCTCGAGTCAATTCCATTTCCTCAACGACTAAACAAGTTTGACAAAACCTTGTGACAAGACCGAGAATCTTTTTTTTAAATAAATAAATGGTATTCGATTTTTAAAACCAAGGAGTTTTCAATTAAAAAGATTTTAATATGACAGGAACAGTGGAAATATTCCATTCCCGATAATTTTAGTGCAACCTATCTTTTATACGATGTTACGAGTATTATATCAACTTTATTATTAGACTGTACTTATTCTACATTTTTTGTTGTAATAATTTTGATAAAATTTATATTGTGAATACAGGCATTGCTACCAAAGTTATTTGGACTTCCACCGATGCCAGAAAGTGCGTGGAGAGAACTACGAGCCCTGTAATTACTTCAAACGCGTCTACAGGTCGCTTTGCCCCAATGAATGGGTCGACAAGTGGGACAACCAGCGCGCCGAGGGAACCTTCCCTGGCAGGATCTAATTCTGTTTGCGGACATTATTTTAGTAGCTGTTATTTATAATTTAATTGCCACATAGATCGCGCAGTGTGATAGATATATAAATGTATTAAAGATTTAAAACGCTTTTTATTTACCTATTTTGTTCCAAATATAAAAAGCATGTGTGCCGTTCACTCGCGGTTGAAATAAAACCTTCAGAAAACTAACCCTACAGAGAATAAGACGAATGCAGAGTATCAGGTGTAGGATAAGTGTAGTTTTTATTTATTACAATATTGTTACAAAGTTTAAAATTAAATAAATATTATTCAATAGTTGAAGGCTACGAAGCACCGCACAAAGAAGACGTATTGTCCACGCAATCTATCTTGGCCGGGCTGAATGTGTTACTAGTATATATACAGTAATCTATGACGTTGCCTCAGAACTTCTTACTAAGTGAACCGATTTTGATATTTTTACTTTTTAATTTGAAAGCTGGTCTTTTACTGGCTGTCTTCTCATGTGGTCCCATATAAATTTGATCAAGATCTGACTTGAGATATCCTTGTTTAATTGACTTCTCATTTTATTTATATTAAAGTCGATTGTACGACATTTTTAATTTTACCACTCGTTTATATTGAAGTCGGTTGTATAAAATTTTTAATTTACTACCTACTTGAATGTCGCTTTTCCGTTTCCAAGTTCCAAATCACAACGATTTTAAATAACTTTTCACTCTAAAAACATTCGCGAGTCTACTTAGCAGTTACATGTCTTAAAACAATAATGAAGTTTGTGAATACGTGCGTGGAATCTTCTTTATCGGCCTCTAGAAGTCTACTTGGGCCTCTTCTTTGGAAGAGATTTTGACAATTGCTACGCTTTGCAGGCGAATAGGCGACCCTTGACCGGACGTCTCGCACCTTTGATGCTACTTTTTTTTTTATTACGGTGACAAACGAGCACATAGTCCAACTGATGGTAAGTGGTTGCTGTGACCCATAGACATCTACATCTATCCTCAATAAATAATCAAAATGCAGATGCGTTGTCACCCGTGAGGACTAAGATGGAATGCCTCTTTTCCCAGTAAAAAGGGTCTCCAGTTCTCTACACTCACTATACGAAACAGCAGTGTTAAGCTGCTATTTAACGCTGGTATTATGTGAGAGCGTGATCCTTCCCCGGTCTAGCCGACCCATTCGCGCTACAACTATACTACTAATATAGCTGCAGCATGGCTCTACCGCGTAGAAAATTTCTCGTTTCCGGTCTGGATATTTCACATGTAGGATATATTGACGGTTCCGTGGCTTAGCAATGAGTTGCAGCGCTGAGAGCCGCGGTACGTATAAGGCTGTCATCACCTAAATTGCCAATCCTATACTGTAATCGGATAAAAACAGCCTATAAGTTGTCCCGGGTCACTAACTACCTACATATAAAATTTAATGGAAATCGATCCAGTAGTTAATAAGTAATAAGCGTAAATCGGTAATTCACCGACAGATAAAAATTCTTAAAACCACTAAACTAATTTGGCTTCAGTACCCTTTATTTAGTCACCTGGACTTGTTTTGCCAAGAGTATATTAGATAATTTAGACACGACTTTTCTACAGATTTATTTTTTTTTTTACATCTACCTTATAATAAGGGATATAAAGTTAATAGTAAATAAACAAACGGATAAAATATACTTATATATACAAAATATAAACGGATATAATATACTTATGTATATAAACGGATATAATATATATATATATACAAAATCTCTAAATAAATATAAAATAATATAACACAAAAATAAAATAACATGATGCATATTAAAATACATCTTATACAAAATATCAATTACAAAGCGAAAGAGTGAGAAAAACAAAAATCGGATAAATCAGATGGTATTATTCCTGTTAAAAAATTCTCGAACAAGTCTTTTAAAATATTGTTTGTTACTGGTTTTTTTGATATGAACAGGCAAGGCATTCCAGAGCAGTATGGACTGCACAGTAAAAGAGGAATTAAAGAAACCACTCTTATGTGGTGGAATACGAATTTTAAGACTATTTTGGGAACGGGGAACTCTATCATGAGTAGAATATTGGTACTCAAAGTTATCCTTAAGATAAGAAGGAGAATTTGGGTCGTTTAAAATTGAATATAGTACTTGTAAAATTCGGGAGCTACGCCTTTGACGAATAGAAAGCCATTTAAGCTTAGAACGGTACTGAGAAACATGGTCATACTTACGTAAGCCGAAAATGAACCTAATGCAATTGTTGAGAAGGCGCTCCAAGTTATCGGGAAGATATTGAGATAGATCTGGGTAACACACATCCACATAATCAATAATGGGTAATATCAAAGTCAGGTAGAAGTTTAATTTTAAAAGGCAGAAAGTTTTTGAGACGGCAAAGAGATCGTAAGGTGGCAGTAACTTTACGGCTTATTTCAGCAACTTGAACTCCCCAGCTCAAGGTATGGTCTATATGTAAGCCAAGATTTTTAACAGATTTACAAAATGGCAGCAATGTTCCATTGTAAAATACGGGAGAAAGATCATTGTTATTAATCTTGGCTAATATTCTGCTACTACCTATAACCATTACCTTACATTTGGAAGGGTTAACCGAAACACCATGTCTGTACGACCAATCTCTTATGGCATCAAGGTTGTGGTTGATTTTGTGAATATTATGGTTAAGGTCATTAACACTAGATTGTACATAGAGTTGAAGATCATCTGCATACAGATGGTACGAACAGTTGAGAACTGAAGTAATAGAATTTATAAATAGAGAAAACATTATAGGAGAAAGTATTCCGCCTTGCGGCACGCCTGTTTCAATGTCAGCCCATGTTGAAGACTGTTGTCCTAATCGAACTGATTGCTGGCGGCCGCGAAGATAGGATGAAAGCCATTCCAAAGCTGGGATTGAGAATCTAAGATTAGCTAGGAAGGCTATAAGGATATCGTGGTCGACTGTGTTAAAAGCATTTGAAAAATCAACAAGTACTACCACTGTAAGCTTCTGCTCATCCATTCCCATTCGAATGTCATCTGTGACTTTTATCAAAGCAGTGGTAGTACTATGACCTGCTCGAAAGCCTGACTGATATTTATTCAGCAGGTTATGTTTGGTTATGAACATAGAGATTTGCTTGTGAACACATGCTTCCAGAACTTTAGATAGGTACGGCAAAATTGAAATTGGTCTAAAATGGGTAGGTAATAAGGGATTAGGTATTTTAGGAAGTGGTCGCACAAATGCTTTTTTCCACTGAGTAGGATATTGTCCTGAGTCAAGGGAAAAGTTTACGATATGTGTGATTGCAGGAAAAAGGCACTCAAGAATCATGGATATCATAACCTTACTAACCTTATCGCAACCCACAGCCTTGGATTTAATAGCTAATACTGATTTCTAGATCTCAACTTCAGTCACAGGTAAAAAGTGAAAAAAAGGAATAGGAGGAGAAGGCATGGATTGAATGGAAGCTATTGTTGTAGAACGTACTGTGGGATCCAAAGGAGAAGTAGAGATAAAATGATGACTTATTTCATCCAGAGTGATTGATGGACCATGATTAGATGTAACAGCCTTACTAATACCAAGTGTTTTAAGAAATTTCCACACATCAGCGGTCGAAGAATTTGTAATATTGCTATGGATATAACGGCGTTTAGCATTTCGTACCATCTGATTGCATCTGTTTCTCAGCATTTTGTACCAATCCCAGCTCTCCTGAGTACGATGCTTCTTAAATTTGACAAATGCTCGATCTCGCCTGGTCATTGCCACCTTTACGGCCCTAGTCATCCACGGGGCTGGTGGACGCTTTACTCTTACTTGATGTTTAGGAGCATGATTGTTTTACAGACTAAGAACTATATTATTAAGCACGGAGACTTTATCGTCAATAGAAGTTGATTTAAAAACAGGGGTTAAGTCCATACGATATGCGTCACTTTTAAGTTTATCAGAAGCCATTTTAGCGAAATTACGAATATATTGTACAGCGGGATTGTGCTTAGGAGAAACAAGCTTATATGATATATAAGTAAGGTCATGTCGTGAAAAAGCAGGAGCCAATAGTTGTCCGTGCTTAATAACGTAATCGGGAGAAGCTATTTATTTATTATATGTATAGATTATTAATGAGGGGAATTATAATATTATTTCGATGATATTCCGGACGTCAGTCTGAGCGAGATTATCACCAGCACCTTAAAAACGGCAAGTCCCGGGGTGAGGATGGAATTGCAGCAGAGCTTCTGAAAGCGAGTGGAAAACCGGTACTTGAAGTCCTTGAGACGCTCTTTAATTCGGTCCTCAATGGTGGCACTACTCCGGAGGCGTGGAGCAGAAGTGCGGTTGTATTGTTCTTCAAGAAAGGCGACCACGCTCTCTTGAAGAATTACAGATCGATTTTCCTTCTGAGCCGCGTCTACGTGCTGTTTTCGAGAGTCATTACGAATCGTCTCGCATGCGGACTTGACGACTTCTAGCCTCCCAAACAAGCCGGTTTCCGTAAAGACTTCAGCACCGACGACCACATACCTAAATACCCTTCGGCAAATTGTACAGAAGACCGAAGAGTACAATCTGCCACTTTGTCTTGCGTATGTGTACTATGAGAAAGCCTTCGATTCAGTCGATACATATACATAGATTGCTGCCCACTTTGGGGAGACCAAGGGAGGATGTGCGTCGCCTCTACACAGGAGTGCTATGGTCCGTAGCCTTGTACGGGGCGCCTGTGTGGGCGAAAAGGTAACCATCCGATGCTGTAGAAATAAAATCTACAGTGTCCAGCGAAGGATGGCCATACGGGTCGTGCAAGGATACCGCACGATATTCTTTGAGGCGGCGACAGTCTTGGCTCGCTTTCCACCTCTGGACATATTGGCGGACATGGATGCAAGGGTGTACGACCGAACGCGTGTCCTCCGCCAGAGCGGTGGGAGCGAGCCAGATGAGGTGTTCGAAGGAGTTAAGTCGTTCACGCATTCGCAACGTGCCGCTCGTCTCTCTGAAGAGCGTTACGCGCGCAAACGCGTTGTTGAAGCAATCGCACGCAAATCGAGCAAAGTGTAACAGGCACTTCGAAGCCTAGATGCATCGACGAACAGGAAGACTCACCTACAGACTTAGACAGATAATTACCGGGCACGGGTACTTCTGTGATTATTTGTGTAAGATCGGACGCGAAGCGACGGCGAACTGTATCCACTACGTTTGGCAGGACCAGGACTCCGCATCCCATACGCTGGCAACATGTCCAGCGTGGGAACGGGAGTGGACGGGCCTGGTAAGCCGGATCGGTCAGAATCTCTCTATGCTAGCAGTTGTGTCGGTGATGCTGAGCTGGGACTCGGCGTGGAGGGCTATAGCCGCCTTCTGTGAAGCCGTTATGGTCTTGAAGGAGCCCGCTCACCCTGGCTCCTATTTTCCGGTATGTACCCTTGGAGTACACTGATCGCCATCCGTTGTTAGGGATTGAATTTTCTCCGAACCTCAACTATGGGCGGTTCATTGAGTCCAGAGCCAAAGCAGCCGCAAAGAAACTTGGTGTCCTTGCAAGGGTGCGGAGGTACTTTACGCCGGGGCAACTTCTTACCTTATATAAAGTGCGAGTCCGGTCGTGCATGGAGTACTGCTGTCACATATGGACTGGTGCTGCAAAATGCCACCTGGCAGCGTTGGACTCAGTGGAGAGGCTGATTGGTGACCTTGATTTGGTTGAAACCAACCTTGTGGCTTACAAATCTTTAATTGTATGACTCCACAGAAAGATAATGAAAATTGTTTACACCTGGTGCATCAAAATATACAAGGCATGATAGGCAAAGAGCTAGAAATTGAGTTGTTCTTAAATAGCAACAATATTCATATTTTATGTATTACTGAACATTGGTTAAAAGCTTATAATTTAATGTTTATCTTCAGTAATCACCAGGTGGTCAGTTCTTTCAATAGAGATACGGTTTTAAGAGGTGGCTCCTTAATATTAGCTAGTAAATTATTGTCATGTAAAGAACGTAAAGACATTGTGAGCCTCTCTGTTGAGCGAACTGTAGAAATGGCATGTGTTGAGTTTGAGCACCTCATTGTTGTGAGTGTCTACAGACCCCCATGTTGTACATATGATACTTTTGAAAACATTATGGAGGAAGTTTTTGCTAAGCTTAATAAACAGAATAAATCTGTTGTAATATGTGGAGACTTTAATATCAATCTCCTAAAAGCTTCCTCCATCAATATTAAATTTAGATCATTGTTTAAATCATATGGTCTTTTTAATTTATTTATAGAGCCAACGCGTATTTCTCAATCTAGTGCAACATGTATAGATAACATTTTTACAAATGTGAAGCCGTTGCATAAATGTATAATTCAAAAATTAAGTTCTGATCACTGTGGACAAGTAGTTTCGTTACATTATGTTCACAAAAAGCAAGTAGATAAGAAAGTTGTGTCTGTTCCAGTAAATGCACGTCGCTTGGAGAAATTTAGAAGTAACATAGTGAAAAAACTTCCATCACTTTCATACCAAAATGATCCAAATTTTTTGTATGTAACATTATTTAAGCTTATTTGCAATGAATTTAATAATAATTTTACTTCTAAAACATTCTCCTTGAACAGTCGGAAGTCATTCAATGAATGGGCGACAGTAGGAGTCCATAAGAGCAGGCATAGGTTATATGATCTTTACCATGAAAGGTCATATAATCATAGCGTCGAATTTAGGGAATATGTAAAAAAATATTCAAAAATATTTAAAAGAGTGTGCTCCATAGCCAAGTATTTGCATTTGAGCAACAAAATTAAGACGGCTTCTAATAAAATTAAAATGACATGGAGTATAATTAATAGCGAAACTGGTAAGATCAACTCTCGCAATTCAAATTACCAGTTAAGTGTTAACAACAAATTAACTGTATCAGATCAGGACGTAGCAATGGCTTTTGAGAAATATTTTACTGATATTCCGATCTTGACCACTAAGTCACTGAATTCTTCTCCTGCCGTCGCCGAATTATTAGTCATTACTTAAACAAAATGTAAATGCGTGTACAAAGAATTTTACATTTCATAAAGTGTCATCAAATGATATTGTAAAATATTTTAAAACTATTGATGTTAAGAAAACTGCGGATCAGTGGGGGATTTCCGTTAAAGTTATTGCGTCTATAATAGATACAATCGCGCCTCATTTAGCTATTATTTTTAATACTAGTATCGAATCTGGTGTGTTTCCTGATTTAATGAAGCATAGTAAAGTAATACCTTTATTTAAATCAGGTAGTACATTAGACCCCGCCAATTTTAGACCTATTTCTGTATTGAACGCAAAAAGTTGTCATTAACAATATGAGCTCTTCCGGATCAATGGCACAAATGGGCGTGCCTCAAGGCTCAATTCTCGGCCCCTTTCTGTTTCTTGTATACATTAATGACTTGCCTTACAAAGTAGGGAATAACCATGATATAGTATTATTTGCAGATGACACTTCTTTAATTTTCAAATTAAATCGACAATTACTAAAATATGACGAAGTAAATAATGCTATATCTAAATTAGTAAATTGGTTTAATGTTAATAATTTGCATTTAAATGGCACTAAAACGAAATATATGAAATTCATGACTCCAAATGTCAAACAATTAAATACTAATGTAATTTTAAATGGGGGGAAACTGAGTCTTGTAGATACCACCATTTTTCTTGGAATCACACTAGACGCGAAGCTTCAGTGGAGCCCCCATATATCAAAACTAGCAAACAGACTTAGTTCTGTAGCATATGCTGTAAAAAAGATTAGAACTCTAACCAGTGATGAAACAGCTCGACTAGTTTACTTTAGCTATTTCCGTAGCATAATGTCGTATGGTATTTTGCTATGGGGACACGCAGCTGACACTGAAATTATATTTGTTTTACAGAAGAGGGCCATAAGAGCAATTTATGATTTAAAGCCTAAAGAATCGCTGCGACAAAAATTTAAGGAAATTAATATATTAACTTTGGCCTCTCAATATATTTATGAAAATGTAATGTACGTACACAAAAATAAAAGTAGTTTTACAAAAGTAAGTGATATTCATTCTGTAAATACTAGGAACAGACACAAGCTAGTAGTACCAGTTACTCGAGTCCATCGAGTCAGTAATTCATTCTTGGGGCGATGTATACGCTTTTACAACAAAATTCCAGAAAATATACAAAGTTTGACCTGCTCAAAGTTCAAAAACTTTATTAAACTAAGTTTGTATAAAATGGGTTATTACCTATAATATTAAGAAATTTATGGATGATAATAACCTCTGGAAATGAGGTGATCGCTACCAAGCTATTTCTAATTTGTTGTGTTGTTAATTTGTGTAACATCATGATTGTAAGCTGTTATTTAAAAAAAAAAGTCCCGCTGGGTTTCTTGCTGGTTCTTCCCAGGACAGAGGTTTTTTTCCGAACCAGTGGTAATCATACAAAAGAGTGACTTTCAATAAGTATTATTTATAATCTATATTGAATAAAAAAGTTTCTATTTCGAGCACAGGCACGAGTAGCCAGCCTCTCGGTATTCTATAGGATACATTTCGGTGAGTGTGCGCAGGAAATACACGCTTTAATTCCTTCCTCTCCTTTCCAGCATCGGACGACCAGGTGGTCGGCGGTACTTCACTCCTTTGTTGTCGATATTCCACGCATTAGAACCAAAGGGTTTGTTTCGACTTTTGTAATGAGTAAAGCAAAGGAGTGGAATAATTTGCCGGCGTCAATCTTTGCGTCCCAATACAATCTGGGCGTCTTCAAGAAAAGAGTGAATAGGCTTTTGTTACGCTAAGACAGTGCGATTTATCATCTAAGGCTGCATCACCAATTACCACCAGGATTTCCCCACGATAAAAAAGGACCAAAGTAACCGACATAGCCCAACGGTTTTGTAAGCTGACGTGGCAATGCGCCGGCCATATTATTCCAATCATTTAATCGTGTTAGAGCCATGCTGCAGCTAAATCAGTACTATAATTGCAGCACGAATGGGTGGGCTCGACTAGGAAGGACCACGCCCTCACAGAATACCAGCGTAAAATAGCAGCTTAACGCTGCTGTTTCTTATGGCGAGTGTAGAGAACCAGCGTCTTCTTTTACTGGAAAAGAGAGATCTTTGTCCTCACGGGTGATCTGCATCTGCACACATCTGCATTTTAATTCGTAGTTAAGAATGGACGAAAATGTCTATGAGCCACTATGGACACTACTTACCATCAGGTGGACTGTGTGCTCTTTTGCTATTATTTATTCTGTGCCCTTGTCATATAAAAAAATATAGTTCGAAGAATCGACAACCGATGGGGAAGCAAGGTTCTCGAGTGGCAGCCTCGTACCGGTAGGCAAAGTGTTGACGAAGTGAAGGCCCCCCACTAGATGGAGTGAAGACCTGGTAAGATATGCAGGAATTCGATGGATGCAGGTGGCTCAAGACCGTACTTTGTGACATTATTTGGAGGAGGCCTATGTTCAGCAGTGGACTTGTGGAGGGCTGTAATGACGATAAGGTGAATACACCATATTTTCCTCGGCTATAACCTTACGAACGAAGTCCTGGTAACTGTGGCGACCTTTGTTTTAATTAGCCAGTGCTTGACTACAATCCCACTGTCTTAGACCTATTTACTCTTGTCTTGGAGACGCCCCTATTATATTCGGACAGTAAAACAGACGCCAGCAAATTATTCCACTCCTTTACTGTACACATTCGACAGCGAAGCACATCGACAACAAAGTGGTGAAATACCCGAAGACTGCCTGGTTGTCCAATGGAGGAAAAAGGAGGAAGGAATTAATGCATATAGAAACTGATTTTTCAAAACTAGCAGACGGATCACGTGCAGTTACATTAATAATGCGAGGGCATAGATTACTGCGTAATATATTGCAAGGATATCACGTCTGTGCTAAACAACTCGCCTTTATAGCACGAAGAGCATGAAAAAATCCTTCACGAACGATTTTTTCATGCTCTTCGTGCTATAAATATCGAAACGCATTCTTACAAAAATGCACACGCTCGGTAGATTTAAAAGGTTGTTATAGAATAAATGATGAAATTAGACTTTTATAGTTTTTCTTAGTAAATTATTATCAGTTGGAACTAATAAAATTATTCTACTGGCGACAAAACAAAACAATAAAACTATTGTTCTATGATATATTTACATTAAAAAGGGAAAATTATACAAAACTCCAAATAAAAATCACATAAAACAAAGATTTAATTATAAAACATTTTCGTTTTATTCAAATGCATTCGATTAACTATCATATGGGACCTGGGAATACTCCTTTTTCCCGTTGCTCGTCCCATTGAGAAATCCAGAAGTTAGGGCAGATTGTTTCAAAATAGCGTTTGAATATTTTACAGTCGTCGACTTCACCGAGCAGCCGAGTGCATTTATAAAAATCACAGTAGTTGTCATAGCATGCTCTGAAAAAGAAAACAATAAAAGCGTATAAGTAGATTATCACGTAAATAATATAATACACTATGGCTTTACATGGGCTTACTTTAGTCTTTAATTGACCGTTACAACTTATACCCTTTGTGGAATATAAGGCTCCCCCATAGACCATAGATAGCCTCATAGAGGGTATATTTGCCGAAGTTAACACACTTAGCAAACGCAGTTTTTATAATATTATTTAGTTGATTAGGCAGACGCTGCTGCGGATAGCAGAGTCAGAAGATGGATCTCCTGGTTTGATTTCTCTCTCGCTTCTTACGTGGTACTCATAATATATTTTTACACCGCCATCGCTACACGGTTAACTTACTTTAGTTTGCGTTGTAAAATATTCCGTGGGCACGAACGTTGAAGCTTAGAAGTTAATCTTTTATAGTTAAATCTTATCGTGTTCTTTGAAAACACATATAGGTATATAGTACATATGTTCTTATTAGTACACTTTCATCTTAGTTTTACTTGTTACACGTAGGCACTAATAAAAAAGAAACTGTTGCGTTAAACTTTAAACTATTTTGGTAATCGGAAAGACCCGTAGAAAACAAAATGTTTTTGTAGTTTAAATCAAGCTTCAAATTACCTGGTCTGGTTTTGAAACGGATATCTTGGATCAACTCGAAGTGTTCTAAATTCTTGATCGCACATTTCGTACGTAAAAAATCCTTGCAGATATAATATGACCTAAAAATAATGAAAGGAAAATTGAAATAAAACTGACATAATATCTAAATTTTTAATTTTTATGACAATCTACATGGCCAAAAAGTTTATAATAAAAATACGTATATGGCATCATGGCATTAGTATGTACCCTGTAAGGAACGCAATGTTTTTCGAGTGTATGCATGTATGTATGTTCATTTCTTTGGCACGTTCTGTAACCTAAACGGCTTGATAGATTTTTACATATTATGGAATGTCGTTAGGTTCGTCTTAGCTGTGGAAGCGACATAGCGTATATATACATTTTTTCTCTTATCATTTAAATTTTTTCGCAGTTTTTATTACTGTTTTAACCATTGAGCTTGTTCTTAATTGTAATTAATAGTCTGAGAGCTGGCGAGGAATTTTAGGAAAGTCCTTTAGGCAAGTTGAAATTGTGAAAAAATATAATTTCGTCAATATTGGCGAATTCAGTCCCGCGAGTCGGGCAGAGCGTTTGCGGTTATTTCGTTATTGCGCAGCATATTAGCATTTAGGTACTTAGTTCAAAAGTCATCTATCTATATCTGTACCACATCACTGCGAAAACAGTTAAGGCTGTAGAGAACGTGCAACTTGTTATTTTTTTCACTTTCATCTCTGGGCGGTAAGCACTTTATACATATTGTCCTTTTTTTAAGAACATGGGGCAGTAATTATCAAAACATATTTTTTGCCAAGCCCAAGCCTTACGAGGTTAAAATTAATGGCTATTATACAAATTATTACATCACTGATCTAAAATAATTCAAACTATATACACAGATATTTACATGGTCGTATATGCGCATACATACATGCTAAATCCCAAAACAAGAATTTAATCTTAAAATCTTTAAAGAAGATATTTCTTAGTAACCAATTACAGCGCAAGGAGCTTAGGCCCCCATCCGCTGTCGACATGCTTTGATAAGCTATCTTTCTCGCACTTATGGCTACGCATAAGACTTTTTGTCTTATTCATTTGTAAACTTTATTCACGTCTGGGAATTGTTTATAACCGCTAAATTCGTCTGGCGATTTGCAGGTATTATTAATAATTACACAATAAATACGTGATTAAAATTTGAGATTTCCAAAAGTATATTTTTGTCTGGAATTATTTTTTTGGAATTATATAAAAACTAAATTAAAAGATAAAAAAGAAATCAAGTTGCAAAAAAACATTTTTTGAAAATTTTTTTGCAAATGTTATATACTGTGCAGTAACGAAATAACCGCAAACGCTCTGCCAGACTCGCGGGACTGGATTCGCCAATTGACGAAATTATATTTTTTAACAATTTCAACTTGCCAAAATGACTTTCCAGAAATTCGTCACCAGCTCTCAGACTATAATAAATATAAAAACTATTTGTTCAATTAAAAGCTGCATTGCCTTTTTTATCAGAAACAATTTTACCTTACCAGACTTTCATCCACAAACTATCGTAATTATATTATATCTTAATCAGATGAATGGCTTACTCATAGAAAACAAACAAACACACAACTTAATATTAATTTTATTATCAGAAGCCTTTGCGGAAGAACACACTACAACTCACGAAAGATTCTTCGTAATCGGATAAATGGTATGGGAATGCATAAAGGATAAATAAAGATACACCTTAATTTTTATAATGTACCTAGATCGATTACAAAATGACAATTCATTGTAAATCAAATTTATCATCAAATTAATGAGGAAAACACCTACCATCTCATATCATCCAGTGGGTATCGTTAGGTGCACGTGGTAGCATACAGCAGTAATTTTATGGTTGTAGCACGAATGGGTCGGCTCGGCCGGGGAAGAACCAGCTCTCACAGAATACCAACGTAAAATAGCAGGTTAATGTTGCCATGTTTCGTATGATGTGTGTAGAGAACCGCTAACCCTTTTTACTGGTAATGAGGCATTCCATCTTAGTCCTCAGGGGTGACGTTTTTGCATGTTGATTCTTAAGATAATTAATAATCAGGCGTTACTTTGCGGAAATCCATTATAATAAAGTTGTTAAAAATTACCTCGCGTACATCCACTCGATAAAATAAAATGATGTGTCTTACCTAGTTTGAAGAGCACCTCCCGTCCTCCCTCAATTGCGTGCACTATCCCCGTCACCACCAAACCCAGCACCACTACTTCCAACACCACTACACCAGGAAAGACTCACCACTGACGACAATACGACACGTGTTTCGCCTCTACATGAGGCATCTTCAGGTGATGTAGACTCTGTGGTGGCTGACCGCTAAGTGAGCGGCGAGCCACAACAACTACTATTTATCAGTGGCGAAGCTAGGGCTCCAAACAAGGGAAAGCCCAAGATATGGTTTTGTTGTTTTTAGCAGTTTTATAAAAATACACCAATCTTGATCTGTCTCCACTCTTCAGTTTTATATTCAGTGCTGTCGAGGACGTGTTTAACACAGCACACAGAAGGCATACTACTGCTAGATAGATTGTATGACATATCAGCAATTGCATACCTTCGGTAGCTTTGAAAAAAGCCGTTTGGGTTTGCTTGAGCGAAAGAAAAAGATATTTTACATGAACAAAAGAAAAGCATGAACGTGTTTGTACTTTACAAACAAACTATGTACAAAAGTTAAAAAAAATATTTATATTCTAAATCGAATCGTCTCTCTTTCTTAAGGAAAGATTTGGTTACGTCCGCGTAAAATGTTTGTGAATGTTTTAACTGTACCAATAACTGTTTATGTGGATATGAGCTGTTTTTTCTGAACAAAGTTTAAAGATTTTACCTTTCCCTCGCCGATTAGCACTTTAATACACTGCAATTCATCACAAGGAACACTATTATCCTCTATTTTCACTAAAAATCTTTAAAAATCATAAATTTTCTGTTCGCGACGGTTTAAAGACTTTAAGCAAAAAGTGATTAAAGAATATTAAAGTGTTTTAAAAAGTGAAATTAGCGACAAAATCGAACAAATTGTGTTTTAATATAATTTTACAGTATGTTTACAACTCGTAATATATTTGTATAAAGTATCGTTTTAATAATAAGTTGATATAAACGACTTTAAACATTAAATAAAATTTCGACCAATCACAGCGCAGCATATCGTGGAACTTTCTAGAAGTTAATTAACTGCGCAATAGTTTATATGAAAATAATGAGAATATTTTTGTGTCCTGAAAGAATTGTAAATATGATATTTAGTTAGCATATGATGTATAGATTGAAATAAGTAAATAGATAATTTGTGTAAATAAACGCATTTGAGAAATATAGTAAAATTAAAGATTTAATGTGCACTTTTGTTATGTAAATTTGGTACATTTTGATTAATAACTTTTTTGAATGTAAATATATCAAGTAACCCTTATCACATAATGATAAAGGACCAAAATGCCTATTTTATAGTGTATAGCGTGTTAATGTAAAAATTAGCATTATATAGAAAAATTGCGATTTGTGCAAATTACGTAATGAAAATGTTTGATAATAAAAAGGCAAAACCGGAAATTGGCAAGCGGCTCTCTATAGAGTATAGCCGAAGTCTACCTTATGGGGGCAAATCACAGTAACATTGTAGTAGGAAGAACTACCAGTAACAAGCAGTAGTATCCGGTAGTAGCTGAAGTGACTAGTAGCAGAACACAGTGAAAAGTTAAAGTGAAATAGAAAAAGTTTAGCTAGCCGAAAAAGGTCGTAACTGAAAAATCGCAGTTACACATAGTCGGAAAAAGTGGCAACTGAAAATTCTCAGTTGCATATAGTAAAATAGTGTCAGCTAGCCAAAAATAGTGGTAACTGATATTCGCAGTTACATATAGTGAAAAAGTGTTGGCTAGCTGAAAAAAGTGGTAACGGAAATTCCGCCGTTACATATAGTGAAAGGTGTTAGCTAGACGGAAAAAGTGGTAACTGATATTCGCAGTTACAAAAGTGTTAAATTCAACTAAATTTAGTTGATTAATAGCTGCTAGTCAGTAGTGTTAGAAAACCAGCTGCTACCAATAGAAATTTTGGATACTACCAATAGAAATTTGTTACTCCCAATAGATATTCAAAATTACCAATAGAAATAGTAGAGAATACCAATAGAAACTTGTTACTGCCAATAGAAATTTGATATTACCAACAGATATTTTGAAAATACGAATAGAAATTTTAAAAAACCAATAGAAATTTTAATATTACTGTGTGTTTAATTAAATCTGTGTTTTAAAATATATAGTGAACAATCATAGTTAAAAAACAGTGTTAAATAAATAAATAAGTTGTAATATTTCGTAACTAATTAATCAGTCGAACCGCTGGCCACTCCCTTGCTATTTAATTTATAAATCGTGCATTTTTAATTCTGAACCTTAGTCCACAGTTCTCCAACAGCATACACAAAGGCGGTAGTGAAAGTATCCACCGGAACCTATAGGTGTAGGACGTGAGCGGCTCGCGGAGTATCTTCGACAACATTTACTCCGGAGAGTTACGCCCGTCCGGCACATTCGTTGGTCCTTCGAGCCGGATAGTTCCATTTAAACTCCGAGCCGAGGCACATTCGTTGGTCCTTCGAGCCGGATATTTCCATTTAGACTCCGAGCCGAGGCCAACATTCGTTGGTCCTTCGAGCCGGATCCCTCATCCGTTTGTATTTCGGAACCGGATACATAGACACTACCGTATTAAAGTCAGTAGAATTTTCAGAATCAAGATGCCGATCACTCGTTCGCAAGGAAGGGGAGCCATGGCGTGGACCGTCGGTCTGGAAAGAGGCCCGTCGGACAATACCGACGCCGTCCGCCACCAGATGCCACCACGCTCACCATCGACCACAGAGGGCGTTGAGACGCCACCTTGCCCCCGCGATGGGGGGGTACTCCTGCCCGGGCCGGCCGCTACAACCGGTACACCGAAGCAGAAGAAACATATAGAGGGCAACGATGACATTCGATGTGCATCACCGCCAACAGTCCGGGAAGACTC